TCTTACTCTTACTCTTACTACTACTACTACTACTACTACTAGGATGCCACTTGCCATGCGTTGTCCTGAGGCGGATAGAACAGTAAGGCTTGACCGCCTCCTGGACGAAGATCTGAGCCTGCTGGTGCCACTGCTGGCAGCAAATAAAGCATGCTACAACTCAATATGGCAGTTTCCCCAAATACCCTTTTCGGAGGTCCCCATACTAGGGACTATCGTATTTTGAATTTTGAGGTTTATATTGGGGTCCCTTATTTAGGGAAATTACCACATCCGCTTAACACCTCCAGGACCAGATTGATTCCATTAAAGAGCAGCTGGACGAGCTGGATGGTGAAACGGGGATGTACGATCTCCTTAGGCTTAAGGACGGCTCTTTGGTGCGTGGCATTCCCTTTGATTGAAAGGCTCCCAGCCTAGCCCTGCACAGGATGAGGCAAAACGATCCATCCTCTCCATCTTGTTTGTGGGCTGGCTCTTCAGGGTCACCTGGCATTTAAAGCAGCGCAGCCTTTGATCGCATGAGATGTTGGGATGCAATCTCAGGATAACTACGAGCAAGCAACGGCCTGCCAGGACGGTCTACAAACCCCAAGCCCTAAACCCCAAAGGCTTAGTGTTAAGGGACATATTGGGGTTATATAGGGGTTATATTGGAGTCATATAGGGGATAATGGGAAAGAACATGGAAACTAGTATTTTAGGGGGTGTCCAGTGATCCAAGCTGCCCAGGACGGGCCCCAGAAGCTGACGCGGGCTACCTGGAGCGCTCTCCGGGACACTCCGAAAGCACAAGAGTTCTACACTAGGTGAAGTTCCCACCCAGTAAAAATGACTTTGAGAGATAACAGTAACTATATTCGGGTCCTCTTATATTCCTATTATACCACTATTCAAGGATGGGGGGTCCACCTAAGATCTACAACGTTGACAACACAGCAGGATTGAGTGAAGAGCTCCTTACAGCTCTCCTGCCGAGGAGCTGACGCACTGTGAGGACATGTCCTTTGAACAGCTTAACTCGGCCATGGTTCTGCTCGGTGTACGTGGCTTGATGCAATGCGCAATCGAGCCTGGCAACAGTCAGAATGAGCTGCAGGGAATAAGGGAATCTAATCCCTACGTAAGCCCCGTACTCCCTACTACGAACCCCCAATAGTTGCCCCATCACAAGGTAGTAGTTTCCATTTTCTTGTCCATTATCCCTGTATAACCCCAATATATTCCCATATTCTCTACTGACCCTCTGGGAGGGTGCAGTGAACTTAGGTGGCGTTTGCAAGAGCAAGGAGTTCTCAAGGCTTGTGCCCCCGAGCGAAAGGAGAAGCCTGGAGCAGGCGGCTTGATGCTTTTGGGCAGCTTCCCAAAATATAGGGATATGATATAAGGATTCTACTATCGGGGTTATGTGGGTTATGTAGGGATAATGCCCAAAATTAGGGGGTCCGTTCTTAGTATGGAATAAGGGGATAGCATGTATTGGATAGGAATGATAATTGGATTATATTCGCATATTCATTATTCCTTACTCACAACCAGTAAGTATAACTAACTAAAAGCTTGGGGAGTGTTTACAGAGTGCACCTGAAATCCAGAAGCTTACAACGAAACTTTCTCAAAGGCTTCTCTCCGAGCAAAGGTGGTTTGCGCAGTGTCAAAATCTTGGGGAACAGGGTTTGAGCCGGCTTCTGCTCGAAAAGAGTCTGCGGAGATGCTCAGAATGAGGATAATTCTAGACTTTGCGAGCCAAGAGCGTTCAAACTCAGTCTCCATCCTGGTTTTGCCATCTTTGCTGGTCATGGGTCAGATCTTGAACTTCACTGTGGAGAACCTCTCTGCTTACGTGCCATCACTGCGAGCATTGTCCATGAAGTGCTATACACACCTTGGCGAAGCAGTTGCTTGGCAGACTTCGGATGCACAAGCTGTAGAAGTCTGTCAGAAGTCCAACTCACACTTGCTCGAGGTCCGAATGATGCTGGACTTTAACTTCGTGCACCTCCTCAGTTGGTTTAAGCATTTGCCCTTGCCTGTGCTTGAAGGGCTTCATGCAACATTCTGGTGGTAGCTTCCGCCTAATTTGGGAAACCCTCAGCCCTAATCCTTAAACCCTGCGTATCCCTGTATTAACCCCTACATAACCCTATAAGGCCCTTGTTCATGCAACACCCTGGTCTGAGGCCCAATTTCTGCAGGGTGAGAATAACCCCAACGCCGTTTGGCTGCTGCAGTGTGCGCTTGGCAGAGATGGGATGCCGGCATTTCGGCTTCTTGTCTGCCAATAAAGGTTTGGGGTTTAGGGTTTAAGCTTTAGGTTTCGGGGTCTAGGGTTTAGGTTTTGGGGTTTTTGGGTTTTTGGG